CCTTCTTTTAGTATAAGTTTAGTATAAGTTTTCTTTTTTAATTAAATAAATTTCAAAATTATGAGAAATTTTAATTTTAATTATAGCAATTTTTTTGGAAATTCAATTCTTATAAATTGAAAAATGCTAAAGATATATTAGATAAATTCAGAGATGCTAAAGATGTATTAGATAATACTTTTAAATTCTCTAAAAAAGTCTCCTTCTTTTAATATAAGTTTTCTTTTTTAATTAAATAAATAAATTTCAAAATTATGAGAAATCTCGATTTTAACTATAGCAATTTTTTTGGAAATTCAATTTTTATAAATTAAAAAATACTAAAGATGTATTAGATAATATTTCTTGAATTTTTTAAAAATTCTTCTTTTTAAATATAGGATTTAATTAATTTTAAAATTTTAAAGTTCTGATTTTAATACAGCAATTATAACGAATATTAAATTAATAAAAAGCAAGTTTCTTAAAACATTTAATTTAAGAAGATTGAAACACAAAAGAATAAGCACAGGATCCTATTATACAATTCGCCTATATGTGTTTTTTTTATTTTTTACAGAAATTACACACATTACTTTTAGTCTCTAGATTTTGAAATTTATTGCCTTTAAATCTTTAAGAGATTTAATTCTTAAAAACTGAGAGATGTTAAGAAGAATACTTAGAATATTTTTTATATCTCTAAAAATTCTTCCTTTTCAATATATTAAAATTAATTTCAGAATTTTGAAATTCCGATTTTAATTAGCAATTATAATAAACCTTAAATTAACAAAAAGCAAGTTTTAGGACTTTTAATTCAAAAAGATTGAGACAAAAGGAGCACAAAGACCGATAATGCGATTATAAAAGATATTAGATTATAATATCTTTTGAGTGCGCTAAAAGTTCCCTCTTTTTCATTAGAATTAAATTAACTTCAAAATTCCGGAATTTTTTAAAAATTATTTCAATGTTATAATGAATCTAGAGAAAATTAATAAAAAGCAAGTTTTTACGACATTTAATTCAGGAAGATTGAATTGAAGCAAAAGACACGAGACAAGCACAAGATGTTAACTTTTAATCGTACAATTCATCTAATTCATGATACCATATCCGAGTACCAGGAGTTTTTTTCGAGGGTATTTAACACGTAAAGAAATTATAACATAAATAAGAGTCGGAAGCAATGCCTTGAAACTTGTACGAAGGTTAACCGATGCTAGCGAGCGAAGCACGTTTATATGGGAATTAAGGGATAGCTACAAAGAGGGTGGAGGGCGAAGGGGGACGGGGGGAGGGGCGAGAGGGGCAAAGGGGGCAAAAACTATTGCGAAGTAGATAGAGAATGCTGCGGTGAGAGCGAATAGGCGAACAAAGGCGGAATACCGTAGACGTAAAACAACGACCACTCGAATCGACGATTGCTGTTTTCGTTTCGCTCGGGAAAACCCCGCCCCACTCATCCCCCTTCGGAGTTTGCCGGAAATCGAAGATTAAACCGAATCGAAGGAACAAAAGATTATTGAATTTCTCCGCTGTGTAAAATTCGAAACAGACTCATCGATAATGCCCGACGTTTTTCAAATTGCGCACGGCTATATCCGTTGTTATCATCCTGTTTCATTGCATTTCGCGAGATTCCATCGGATATCTTGCGATTAGATTCAAATAGAAGAGTCGTAAAGAAGAAGGAACGTGATTCGACAGCATCGCTCCCAATAGAATTAAAATAATGTTACGTTGATGCAAAATTTATCCTAGGACCCAGCAAACATTTATGTAGCATTTATATAATTATTTATATAATTATTTGTATAATTATTTATGTAACATTGATGTAATTGTTAGCTGTAATTTCCCGCTCGAACGATATAAATTGTTACATAACATGTAACAGTTATATTGAGTGGAAAATTACAACTGACAGTTATATAACCGTTATTTGATATTTGCTGGGGAGACTATAGAATTTTTAAAAATGTTTTTAATAGAAACAAGAACGAACCTCCCTCTGTCTTTGAAAAAAAATTATAGTTTCCGGCGATAACGTTTAAATATAAATGCGAGGATGAATCCGAGTTTTAACGATGCAGATTCTAGCGAGCACTCTGGATATAATGTCGATATCTCTGGTGAGAATCCCATTTTCCCGGGGCGCGAGCTTTCAGCCGGGGGGGGGGGGATAGGGGAGACTTTTCACTCGGTCCAGATAAGAAGGGCAAAGATATAAGGAAAAAAAGATAAAAAAAAAAAGAAAAAATTAATCACTCGAGAGGGAAAGCACTTCGCCCTTCTGTTCCATTTTCGCGGCACATTTTTCTCGGATCACGCGCGGACGTCCTGGAGAATCGAGTCGACTCGAGTCGGGTCGGGCAACGTGGAATGCAGGCTATTGATTCAATGCGATTTTTCACCGGACCCTCCGATGAAAAATGGCGAGCACACCTTCCGCCGTGTCTCTCGCGCGATCTAGATGAGGATCTTTTCATTTTGAAATCGTCTGGCCTACGTGTTTCATTGTTGCAACTAAAGGGTGGGCGAAGATTCCCCCAGAGATCGTTCGTTAAGATTATCTTCTTACCTCAAGTGAGACACACATCTTTCAAATTTTAAATTTCTCTTTCTTACTCTCCCTCGATTAGTGATGACGTTGGAGAGAAATTGAGAAAATAATTGATACCGCACTGAGAAAAAAATCTGGTTGCATTAATTAGAATTCTGGTAGATTCAACCAGTATGTCTGTTGGAAAATGGACGAACCAGAATTCTTGTGGGAATTACCAGATGAATCTGATTAATTTCTTCCTGTTAAATTTATCAAATTTTCTGGTTAATAATACTAAACTCGCCAGCACCAAGTCGTCTAAAATTTTTTCCATCTAAGCTCAAAAGTCTGTTTAATATTCTGAATTCCAACAAAATTATTGCATAAATTCAATCCAGATTATTGAATAAATTATTTTAAATTCAATTCGTTAGAAATTAAACTGATAAACAGTGATGCAAGAGGAGGATGCAGTTCAAACACACACAATCAGAGAGCGTCCTCTTTCTAGCACTACTGCTCATAAAAAAAAATATACTTTGGATTTAATGTTAATACTAGTTCTTTATAAACATTTCATGGCAAATATTGAATATGAGTTAAGTTAAGAGTGGCTCACTATTTAGCGGCAAGCAAAGAAATTAATGTGACAAGAAATTTTATAGATCCAATCAGAAAATACTAACCAAATCCTTATAGTAAAATCTACACGGTAAAAAACATTTTGTATTTCTGTTAAAATTTTCTCGTGTATAAATTTTTGTGTTAAATTTTTAACATACTCTTATGTTAATGTAACATATTATTATTGCGTTTTTCTGCGTTGAGTTAATATTCACCGTTCCTGAGAGGTTAAAACAACACAATTAATATGTAAACGCACGAATTTTGATGAAATATGTTATATGTTAAAATAAACAGATAAGTTGTGTTACTTTTCTCTATATAACAGTTTCCATATGTTAAATCGACATATCTCTTCTGTTATTTATCATAAAAATATAAGAATAACATTTTCTTTTAATTAAATTTAATATTATAAATATGTTAATTTAACATAAACTTTATTTCCAGATAAAGTTTAAGTGTTACACTTTTGTGTTAATTTTTAAACATATTACTTGTGTTATTTATTTATATACCTTCTGTTAAATTAACATTAGAGTGGATAAATTGGGACTTGTAAAATATGTTAAATTTAAAAACACAAAATTTTTTACTGTGTATTAAACGTTCTAGTTATAAAAAATCGAGTCTTATTATGATAAGTAGAAATTCTTGTTTGATTTAACCAAAATGCTTTCAATCATATACGTCTTGTTGGTACAATCAAAAGATTTTTCTCAGTGCGCCGTCTGATTTCTCGCGGCCACGTCAACGGCTTATACAGAATAAGCTGCGGAGGTATTTTTTCAGGTCAAAGGGCTCATTTCGCGTCATCTGCGACGTGCTCGAGCACACCGCAGTCGTCACAATAAAAATGGCATCGTGGAAAGTCTCCGGTCGCTCTTTCCGCGGAACTCGGACAGCTCCACACGAGTGGCAAGCCGTGTTCCTGGCGCGACACTTCATCTCCCGTCCTTTCTTCCCTCACGTACGAAACGATGAAAGCTCGCCCGGGATCTGACCCGTTCTAATTCGAGCTAACGCGGCAGCCAGCGCGTTTTCTTCTATACGTATTCGCCAAGTGAAGACTAATCGAAGGACGAGTGGTCCCCCCTCTCGAAGATGAACCACTCGCGCGAGCGACGGTCTCGATTTTTGCCCGGTGAGTATTCTGCTGAAGAGCGTCTTCCTTCTTTTTCAGCCATTTGCATTCGCTGATAATTTAATTTCGATAAACGCGAACACGAGAAGTTTGAGCATTTCGCTAATTATTAACGTCCTGAGTAGGCAAATCAGTGAAATTGAATCGGAAATACGATGGCGATCACAAGTTCGGAAGGGCTTGATAGTTGGAGTTATTATTTTTTTATCGGCGCCGATAATTGATGGACTATTTCTCTCTTCATTTTAATTCGCAATTAGCTACTTTAGAAATGATATAGCGTAGAAACTTGCAAATTTGATATCAAAATTAATTGTTAAATTAATCGGATATAAATTCAGATAATATTATTTTCACTTACGAAAATATTATTTTACGCATTATTATGTATCTTTCACTTTTTTTATTGAATAATAATTTAAAGTTTAAATTATTGTTAAATAGAATAAAATTTAAATTATTATTAAATTTTTAATCTGAATTAAAAATTAAATTTATAATATTATTAAATTTTTAATCTGAATTTAAAATTAAATTTTTAATTCAGATTAAAAATTTAATAACAATTTAAATTTTAAAAATATTAATAAATTTTAATAATACTTTCGTTTTTTTCTCTATTACAATTTCTGCTTTGGTAAATTAAAGAAAATCAAGTAATGTTTATCATAAAGTTATATAGAAAAATGTGACGTTACTTACCGATTTCCAAGTATTTCTGATGCACTGGATCGTACTGTTCCCAGGACAAGGTGCGAAATCGACTCTTCTCTCTACTAGCTGGTAAAAGAGTGTCGTTTCTCCCATGATGATCCATAATGTTCGGATTTCTGTAAATTCAAAATAATGTTTTATTAGTTTCATTTTACTCTGGATACAATAGATTTACGCGTAAATAATGATGAAAATAATATATAAAATAATATCTTCAGAAACATATTAATATAGTATGTAAATAAAAAAGATATTCTATATCCCATTGTATTTACATTTCTGTTATTTCATTACAAAGAGAGAAGAGAGGAAACTTCCTTATAAAATTTCTAAAAAAATTCATGTCAAAATAAAATTACAGAATTCTCCCATGAGAAATGTTATTAATATCATTTAATTATAATATAATCTCACCTTAAATTTCACTCTAAAATTAAAAATTAAGGAGAAAAGAAATTAAAAATTAAATGAAAGAGAGCAAAGAGAGCGTAAGATTAAAATTAACGTTGTTGAAGGCAGTTATTAATAACCATACCTCCACTAAACATGATATTAAAAGTATCCTTCTGAAATTAAATTAAGTTGTACTTCTCGTACAGCATTGCATCAGATCGAGAAATCCCGACGAAAGTATTCTTTCATGCGGATATAGCTGGTGGAATATTTATTACACTTATTTCGCTGAGAATCGCGGGAGCAAATTTCAGCGGCGGGGGGGGGGGGTGAATTCGAGTCACGAGCATCGCATAATTCAGAGTATCGATGCGGCACATGCAAAGTTCGCCAGTTTCCGAAACTTGCGCATTCCCGTTATGCCTGTTGAGGTAAGACTTGCGGGTCATCCCCTATTCCGCGGTCAGGGGGCTATAACGATCCACGAGACCGGACCGACCGTGGCTTCGGCCGGAAAACGGAAGTAACACAGGGCTGATCCCTCGTTTGCATTAACGGCAAACGGCGACAGAGCCACCCTCTTTGAGCCGGCCTCAAGTAAAGGGAAGAGATACAACGCGGGAGACGCCTTTGTTCGCGTCGCTCGTTATCAGTCGCTCCTCTTTTCGAAAGGATCGTATCACAATTTCCCTTCTCCTCTCCCCCCTCGATACTCGAGCTGTCAAATTATAAAATCTTCGCTTCGCGACGATTCTCGTCGATATGAAATAAAGAAGCTTCGATACTCTTTCGAGTAATCGATATTTTATGTGCGTCCCTTTTTTTTTTAAGAGTGAATGGCTACGAAAAATTTATCACTTTTCGTATTCGCGGCGATAATGGCCACGGTATAGCGGTCGTTATAGCGGGGCTAACGGCATTAATTTCGCAAATTATAGATTTATGAGCGCGCGTAGGGGGATAAATGCCAAAATCGTGGATCTTCGATATCGCGATATTCGAGAGCGTATCGTTTGATTGGTCAAATTACACGGATAATTATGAGCAAAGTTGGTCGCATGCCGGATGTAAATCACGCCGGAGGGTGAAAACGCATGGGGAATGCGGGCTCCCTCCGCCGAAATGGAAATTCGCCGTGTGAAATAAGGTTGTTATTTTAGTTATAGCAATACCATCCGTCACACACGTGCGCGAGCTCGCTTGAAAAAACATTTTATTTCGACGAAAAACAAACCGAATTCCTGTCGTATATTAAAAGCAACTGAAAATTTTATGGATACAGCTGCCTCTCTCGCGCGTCTCGCGAACGAGTCGATATTTTTACACTACATGCTTGAATTTTTATTCGCCAACGCACGATCCTCCAAATGATCTGATTTGTAACCGGATGTGCCGCGCAACAAGATTATGTGCGTTTTACATTTTTTGTTTCATTATTTTGTTACATTTTTATTTTTACGCAAACTTGTATTTTTTTTAAAGAGAAATATTAAAAAAAAGATATATGATATTTAATTGTTATTTTTTTTATGCTTTTCATTTATTTTTCTTATATTTCATTATTTTATTGTTTTACATTTAATATTTTGAATGACTCTAGTTTTAACAATAACAATATTTTTTAATTTTTAAATTGTATTTAAATTGTATTCCTCTATTAACACTAAATAAACTTTAGCAAGCTTCAAAAATTTAGTCACTAGCATTCATGTTATCGCTAAATGGTATCAGACTTTACCAATAATATCATCTATTTTGTAATCCTATTGATATATGTATCTATTAATATATATAAACGAATGAATAATTATTATTCATCTGCGGTCAGCAATGAACAAATTGATTATTAATTCATTTGCATAATTTATTTGTGTATATAATCACGGTTATAAAATACCGCATTAGAGGGGGAAAACAGATGATTAATATGATTGCCCGTGGTGTCTAGGAATTAGAGGTTGTTTTCATAAAATTTGTTCATCCCATTCCAGGTTGCCTGGATACGACGGCTAAACTTTCCGCGAATGTAAAGACGCGCGCTTCTTTCTCCGGAGATTACACTGTTCTTACGACGCGGTAAATGGAAGGGAAGACTATATCTCGATGAAGAAATCGCTGTCTGTCCAATTAATGATAGCAACTGCGAGTCAGCCGAGCGAAAATCTCTCTCGAGTATTCGCTCCGCGAATGTACTACGAGTTTCCTCGTCTTGTCGGGAGATGAGATACTTCTTTTCCCAGTACGATTAAGACCAATTATTTATTATAGGTTTCCGTTCTCATTACGAGTCTGCAAAACGGAATCGTCACAAACGAGATTTTAAATCACTAACGATAATAAAGGACTAATAAAAGCCATCATATGCTTAACGATGCGTAATTAATTAAACGTTCCGGAGATCAATCCGGAAGCCTCTCCGGCTCTGTCATCCCCATCATTTCTCCATCAAGGCCTAGAGAAGGTCGGACTGCGTTTAAAGCAAACTACTAAATCGTGGGTCGCGTTGAATAAATTTGATAGAACGAAAATTCGCGCAGGCAATAAATAAATTGGTACAATTGAGAGAGAGGATAAGTATCTACGGGTTGCGAGAAAATAATTTCTAGCAACGGATCCTCAATAATTTGCAGCAATGTGTCGGATAGGATGAAAAGAACAGGGGAGATGGGAAAATTCGTTGCATTGATTGCGCACCCTCGGTACACGACGAGCGATGCTCCTGCGATGACGTGTTTGCAATCGTCTGCCGCGAATGCTCTCGTGATGAAATATGCCGAGACGGTCGGATAACGTGCAGCTATGTATGTAGATTGCACAACAGCGGAGATAACAATAATCTATAATGCACAACCCCCTTCGTAGAGAGAGAGAGAGAGAGAGAGAGAGAGAGAGAGAGAGAGAGAGAGAGAGAGAGAGAGAGAGAGAGAGAGAGAGAGAGAGAGAGAGAGAGAGAGAGAGAAGAGAGAGAGAGGAGAGAGAGGAGAGAGAGAGAGAGAGGAGAGAGAGAGAGAGAGAGAGAGAGAGAGAAGAGAGAGAAGAGAGAGAGAGAGGAGAGAGAGAGAGAGAGAGAGAGAGAGAGGAGAGAGAGAGAGAGAGAGAGAGAGAAGAGAGAGAGAGAGAGAGAGAGAGAGAGAGAGGAAGAGAGAGAGAGAGAGAGAGAGAGAGAGAGAGAGGAGAGAGAGAGAGAGAGAGAGAGAGAGAGAGAGAAGAGAGAGAGGAGAGAGAGAGAGAGAGAGAGAGAGAAGAGAGAGAGAGAGAGGAGAGAGAGAGAGAGAGAGAGAGAGAGAGAAGAGAGAAGAGAGAGAGAGAGAGAGAGAGAGAGGAGAGAGAGAAGAGAGAGAGAGAGAGAGAGGAGAGAGGGAGAGGAGAGAGAGAGGAGAAGAGAGAAGAAGAGGAGGAGAGAGAGAGGAGAGAGAGGGGAGGAAGGAGAGAGAGAAGAGAGAGAGAGAGAAGGAGAGGAGAAGAGAGGAGAGAAGAGAGAGAGAGAGAGAGAGAGAGAGGAGAGAGAGAGAGAAGAGAGAGAGAGAGAGAGAGAGAGAGAGAGAAGAGGAGAGAGAGAGAGAGAGAGAGAGAGAGAGAGAGAGAGAGAGAGGAAGAGAGAGAGAGAGAGAGAGAGAGAGAGAGAGAGAGAGAGAGAGAGAGAGAGAGAGAGAGAGAGAAGAGAGAGAAGAGAGAGAGGAGAGAGAGAGAGAGAGAGAGAAGAGAGAGGAGAGAGAGAGAGAGAGAGAGAGAGAAGAGGAGGAGAGGAGGAGAGAGAGAGAGAGAGGAGGAGAGAGAGAGAGAGAAGAGAGGAGAGAGGAGAGAGAGAGAGAGAGAGAGAGGAGAGATTGATTGATTGATTGATTACACTTTATTTAGCCTTCTCGGCTACTATTATACAAATAACTATACAAATAACATTACAATTTTGGAACCATTTGTGTAACATAATCTTTTAACATTCTCTTGAAACTATTTAGTCTTTCACATTGCTTTACCTCTGCAGGTAAGTCATTGTACATTTTAGTGCCTTTATAAAAAGCACTCCTCTGCGCTTGACAAGTTTTACGCAATTGTACAACTATGTTACCCTTTTGTCTAGTTTCCCTCTGATAATTCTCTCCTACTAAATCTAGCCTATTTCTTAACATACGTGGTAGATAACCTTTTAATATCTTAAATATAAATATGCATGTATTATAATATATCCTCTGTCTTATTGACATATATTGCAAGGCTTGCAGCATATGTTCCACCCTGGTATTTCTTTTACATTGCAAAATCACTCGCATAGCTCTATTCTGTGCCACTTGCAATTTATTAATTTGCGTCTCGCCCATGCCCACAATCACTGTTGCACAATACTCAAAATGCGGTGCGATAATTGTCTTATATACTATTTGTCTACTATACGGTGTTAAATATTGACCCATTCTGTTCAAAAAGCTAGTTTTCTTACCTATCTTTTTCAACATATAATCGCAATGTTCAACAAAAGTGAGCCTACTATCAATCATTATGCCTAAGTATTTTATTACTTCCACTCGTTTTAACACTTCACCATTCATGCATACTATTTTTATTTGCCCTTTAACTTCCTTTCTATTACTTCTAACTATCATATACTTTGTTTTCTCTACATTTAATTTTAGTTTATTTAGGCTCATCCAGTTTTCTATTTTATGAAATACATCATTCATCTTTTTATTAATTTCCTCACTACATTCTCCTGTTACATAAATCATCGTATCATCCGCAAACAATTTTACATTACTTCCTATTGGACATACTTCAGTTATATCATTAATATACAACACAAAAAGTAACGGCCCTAATACCGATCCCTGCGGAACACCATGGTCTATTGCCATCACTTTGGAATAGTTACTATTAAATCTAACTTTCTGTGTTCTATTCTTTAGATATGACTCTAACCAATGCCACACCTTACCCCTTATCCCTATTTGGTACAATTTTTCTAATAATCTGTTTCTATCAACAGTCTCAAATGCTCTTTTTAAATCCATAGATATGACCCCTACTATTTTTCCTTCATCAATTTCTACTTTCCATTCATCTATTATTCCCTGTATTGCCGTTTCACATGAATGTGATTTTCTAAATCCAGATTGATGTTCCGTCAACACTTCATTTGCCTCTAAATATCTTCCTATTTGATCTTTGACCACTAATTCTAATACCTTCTCATATATTGGCAAAACGTTAATTGGTCTATAATCACTAGCTTTTATAGGTTTTTTAATTTTTGGAATTGGAACTATCGTGGATGTCTTCCAGCTGTTCGGACATTCACCTATCATTAGCGACTTATTTATTACTTCTGTAAATTCATCTTTGATTGCACAAAAAGCAATTTTCAACACATCCACACTTATTCCTTCCTCTGTCCCTTTTTTAACCGGAAGATTCATCACGACCGTTTCCAATTCATTCGCATTAATAGGATTAAAATATTCTAATACTTCTATATTCTCACAAGTATGCATTGTTCTCCTAGTACTTCTTTGATCATCTACTTTTTTAATACTATTTATAATATTAACGATACTATTAATATAATACTCATTAAAATTGTCCTCTATATTTATTCCCTCATTTGTAATAACACCCTCGAAATCTAACCTATCAATAACTTTTACATCCAACACTTCTCCTTTCAATACTTCTTTCAATGTCTTCCACATTCTTTTCGAATCTGTCTTATTGGCATCAATCATATTTTCATAATATTGTTTCTTCTTATACTTTATAAGTTTAACAACTACATTTCTTTCAATCTTATATTGCTGCCAATCCTGTTTTAAACCCGTATAAACTGCTTTCCCGTATGCCCTATCTCTAGCAATTGATGCCCTTTCTATGTCATCCGTAAACCATATTTTCCCTTCCCATGCCTTTGGCATTTGAAATGTTCTTTCGGGTGCAACAACATCTAACGCCGCCACTATATTTTTAACAAAACTACTGGCCCTTTCATTTATGTCTAGTTCGCAATTATTAACCACGCTCCGTTGCAATTCACTAATAAAATTCTCTATATTCATTCTTTTGTATGCTCTTCCCCTAAATTCTTTATAACAATTTTCATCTTGCCTTGTCTTAAATTCAATTCTTATCCATGAATGATCCGTAATTTTCGGGTTTTCTACTACAGTTACACACTCACTCAAATTCAAGTTCGCAAAAACTAAATCTATAAGAGTACAACTATTAATTGTCACCCTTGTTGGTTGATTAACACATTGTTTCATACCTAGACATGACATAACATTTTTTAACTTATTTGAATAAAACGTATCTAACCTTAAATCTATGTTAAAGTCTCCTATTACTATACACTTTTCTTTTATTACCAAATCTTCAATTAAGTCCTCAATAAACTTTATAAAAATTCCATCAGGTGCACTAGGTGAATGGTATAATATTACAATTGTACCTTTGTACCATTTTTCAAACAGACCTATCACAACACACCAACAATTTCCTATGACGTTCTTTACCATTACAGTTTCAAATTTAATGTCATTTCTAATGTAAACAACTACTCCTCCGGTATACCTATTTTCAGCATCACATCTCACTTGATTGTAGCCTCTAATATTTATCTCAAAATCTTCTATGTTGGCATCCACTCTCGTCTCCGATAACGCAACTACTGCCGGATTTCTTTTCTTCATTATTTGATGGAAGATCTCATCCTTATGTTCCACCAAACTTTGCGCATTTGTATACATTATTTCTGCATTACTATTCTTTAATTGCTAATCATCATTTTCCCATCCGACTTTCTTTTTTCTTCTTCTAGCACTTTTTTGAATGTCGGGCATTCTCTACTCAGAGCCCTGTGTTCTTCATTTATTTTTAAGTTATAAGTTTTATTCTTATATATACAATTTATACACCTTTCTTTCTTAGTTTTACAATCACTATCCTTATGATCGCCTGCACATTTCGAGCATGTTATCGGCCGTGTACAGTTCTTTGCAATGTGATAAAATCCCCAACAATTGTAGCATCTCTTCACGTTAATATAATTAACAACATGACATTTCCTCCATCCAATATTTATTTTTTCCTTTTTTAACATTTTCTCATGCGTTGCCGTATCCACTTCAACTATCAGCATACCATACTCCTTCTTGGCTCTGGCCGAATTACTGTTTCCACTTTGTCTTCCTCTAATTATCTTTTTCAAAATTTTAATATGTAATCCTCTTCTTTCTTCATCCAAATGATTCTGTTTTATTATCATATCTACTATTTGATCCTCGTTACAGTTTATTTCTTCTTCCTCCAAATTTAAAATTTTTAACTTCGGCTGTGCACCTTTTGGCTCTATTATTTGATATTTATCACCTAATTTACTCACAACATTTGATTTTAATTGTTTCAATTCCTGCTTGCTTTCACATCCCAAAATAACTGCTCCTCTACCTCCTTTTCTCAGCTTAGACACACCTATTGACATATTCTTGATATCGATGTTCTCCTTTACCACTTTTTTTGTCTTCTCACTCTCTTGTTGCTCCTTTGGTTTTATTATAATAACATTTTCCTTTTTTTTCCTCTTTAACTGCTTCGCTATAACTACGCGAGGCATCTCCAGTTGACATAATATTCCACATTTTCTTCATTTCCTCCATTTCTTTCTTGAAGCCTTCTAATTCATCTCTAACTATACTTGTAATTATATTCTTTATATCATTTTTACTAATCATTTCATCCCTAATTTTTCTCACCAACCAATCTATCTTTGACTCCATGTTAGGTCCTTCTTCTACATTCGATGATTTGCGTTGCTCATTTCAGTATTATTAAATTTTATAGTGAGTATCTCGTATTTACCAGTACAGGTAACCAGTTCATTTGCCGAATTATATACTTTATGTAATTTATGACAGCTTGGATGAAATACTTTCTCACAAGGTATACATTTTATAAACTGCGTTTTTATCTCCTTTCTACATTGCTTACATATCATTTGCTTGTCAGTCCGTGTTACATCCATATTTGCTCATCCTCGTGCGATAATTTAAATTCTTCTTTATCGACTTTAAAAAATTTAAAAGAACAACATCAACACACAAACGTCGTTGCCACAGCAACAATGTCGTCACGGTGTGTCGACCCCAAAAAAGCTGAGTCAGCCCGGCACAGTCACTTACTTTCCAATTTCCGACAAAAATTTCGATAAAGAGATTTCAATTATTAGTTATCAAACAATTGATTTTACTAGAAGATAATACTCCTCCGAGCACTGCGCCCTGCACTACATATATGACACAAGTTTCAGCAGTAAAAAACTGATACCTTTCAATAAAAATTAGCAAAATATGAAGAGCACATTCGCACACGTCTACTCCGTTCGCGACTCAGAGAGAGAGAGAGAGAGAGAGAGAGAGAGAGAGAGAGAGAGAGAGAGAGAGGAGAGAGAGAGAGAGAGAGAGAGAGAGAGAGAGAGAGAGAGAGAGAGAGAGAGAGAGAGAGAGAGAGAGAGAGAGAGAGAGAGAGAGAGAGAGAGAGAGAGAGAGAGCAACCATCTCGTGTTGCCACGCGGCTTGACGAGACATTATAAACCGCCCTGATAATAAATGCTTGGAGCGATTTTCTCACGTGTCAACACTTCCGAAACATTTTCCTCTTAGGTAAAAAATTTTAGAAAATTGTAAAAAAATATTTTTGTATGTTGTGTGCATCTTAAAATTAAAATTGTTATAAAAAATTGAATGTATTTAATTATATTATTATATTATAATTATATCATTTTATAATTATATTATTATTATATATTATAATTATTTTATATTATTATATAAAAAATTGAATGTATTTAATTATATTAATATTATATTGATTACAATTGAATTGTCTTTTCTCTCTATTAATCTAGATCAGTGCTGTCAATTATTTGCAAACGGGTCTTAGCAACCGCGCGAAAGGGGAGTTAAGAAATCCGGCCGAAAGTTGCAAATAATTGACAGCACTGATCTAGATATATTCCGATAAGATTCAATACCTGCACAATTTACTCCAGTTTCTATCTTTCTTTTATAATTGATCAAATTTTCCCAAAAATATATAAATATTTAATTGTAAGTTTTCTAAGAAAATTCCATTTTAATTAAAAAGAATTTTCATTTATTTAGAAAATATTGATTGAGAAAATTATTTATTTGGAAAATTATTTATTTGGAAAATATTGGATATAAATTTTCTAATAAAAGAGAGAGATGGAAAGAAATTTGATGGTTTTATAATATCGATTATGAGGATATACGAGTTAAAGTAAATACGTGTCGCGTTTTCAATTTACACGATCGCGAAGAATTCTTTTTCGTTGCGAACAATTTTTGACGAAAAATATTACGACGCTGCCGTCGTCCTTCGATTTTTCTTGTTTCAAGTCGGGATGATTTATGACGTTATAGTCTATACAGAAAGTTTGCTATCCTGCTCGTATAAATTCAATGAATTATGTAATGCCGTTTCTCTGAAAATGCATCGTCGGCGATACATAAATTATGAGCCGCGACCATTGTACGGCACATAAAATATGCGCGGTATCACTGACACATTACTGTAAAGGGATCTCTATCAGTTAATACATCATTATAATTTTAATTAAATTATCTTCCAAGTACACGTTAACATTCAACTCGCGAGTTAGCAATTAATTGGTCATTAATCTGCCCTGATCCTCGATGCAAGGTATAGGAAATCCGATCCTGTCAATATTTCATTCGTATTTCGTTTTAAGCGGAGGATCGTCACAAAGTTGAAAGCGAATAAAATTAATTCAACGAGTTTCATGAACCAAGATAGGAAAGTTCGGAATGCACGGAAAAATTTGCTTTACATATTTTCCGTTTCGGCAAATCGCGTAGCTTTTTCTCACACAACATGCGAATTAAAGTAAACAAATAACTCAATTGCATAAACGAGGGTAATTGCGCGCATTTTGAAGAAAAGCGTTTAAATCCAATCTTGATTAGAGGGCTCTTTATTTAAGTCTATAACCAGCTCGTTTCTTTTATCGTGCATCTGCCGCGAGCCGTTCCATTTGAATGATGAAAGACGCCAGACACAACAGCTGGTTATGCCCATGAAGCCAATTACGAGCATCGTATGGTCATGTATGGACCTATAGACAATCTCCGCTCGGGAGATCGATCACTAATGGGCGCGACTGCCAGTTAGCATGCATCATCGGCGATTTAAGTGAAACCGGCTCCGATCAATGGCACTCCCTCTCTGTCCATCAATTTAAAGCTCGATTTCGCTTTAATCCCCTTACGTAAAGTCGCTTGGAAAAATGCCGACTAACATCGGGGATCTATGCTAGCTCAGTGGACCTTGATGTCACACCTGGCCGAGCCGACATTCACCACAAGCCCTCCCGTCTATGTGTAAATTATAACGCGTGTAGTAGAAAGTCGAGGTACAAAACACATGTGCGAAGAGGAACGTTGAATAAAATATGAAAAGTATGCGAGAGATACGCGGAAAATGTAGAAATATTTTTCTGATATACAAATCAAAATGGCGATATGATAAAAAAGTAAGGACAGTTTTCTCTAGCATGGAAAAATAAAAAATTAAGAAAGAAATTTTAATATCAAAAACACAATCAAACTGTCATTTTAGACACGGTAAAAAACATTTTGTATTTTCTGTTAAAATTTTCTCGTGTAAAAATTTTTGTGTTATATTTTTAACATACTCTTATGTTAATGTAACATATTATTGTTGCGTTATTTTGACATTTCTGCATTGAGTTAATATTCACCGTTCCTGAGAGTTAAAACAACACAATTAATATATAAATGCACGAATTTTTGATGAAATATGTCATATGTTAAAATGAACAGATAAGTTGTGTTATTTTTCTCTCTATAAAAGTTTCCATATGTTAAATCCACATATCTCTTCTGTTATTTATCATAAAAATGTAAGAATAACATTTTCTTTTAATTAAATTTAACATTATAAATATGTTAATTTAAGAATTACAAGTTTCTCTCAGCTCGTCATAAACGTCAACAAATTAAGACAAGAGTAAAAAGCATTTACGAGCAATCACGAGTTATTAGGTTAAATTTATATTAACACACCTAATAACTCATGATTGCTCGTAAATGCCTTTTACTCTTGTCTTAATATGTTAATTTAACATAAACTTTATTTCCAGATAAAGTTTAAGTGTTACACTTTTGTGTTAATTTTTGAACATATTACTTGTGTTATTTATTTACATACTTGCCTTCTGTTAAATTAACATTAAAATTAGAGTGGATAAATTGGGACATGTGAAATATGTTAAATTTAACACAAAATTTTTTACTGTGGACGTATTATTTTTCAATCAATTAGATAGAACTAATTAGAATTATTTAGATAGAGCTCTAACTTTGGCAGAAGATGCTAATCAAAGATATTTTAAAAATATCAATGGAATTAATTAGTCATGTAATTTTAATATATATTCAATTCTTTTTGATTTTACATTTTTAAAAATCATGTTCAGTAACAAGAAACAATGAAATTTTTAATAGAAAGGAAATAATAAGGTTTCTAAGAAAAAGGAAACTTTAATATAAAAGACTCACGAAAACGATAATGTAAATATTATTCTTCAATTAATCAGAATTATTTAGATAGAATTTATAAAATTTGGAAATAGTACTATTCAAGATATTTTAAAATATCTTGAATATTCAAGATATTTTAAAATTCAAGATATTTTAAAATATCAATGAAAATAATTAGTCGTATAGAACTAATTTTAATATATATATTCGATTCTATCAATTTTCATTTTTAGAAACTATGTTATGTAGTAATAAGGTTCCCATCAGACGGAAAACAATAAGATTTCTAAAAGAAAGAAAATAATAATGTTTTTAACCAAAGGAAATTTTAATATAAAAAAATCAACAACAGTCTCTCATTTAAACATATTGATTTTCAATTATTTAGATAGAGCTTGTAAAAAATTTTTTTAAAAGTGTTAACCAAAGACACTTTAAAATATCAATGGAATTAATTTTAGTCGTACAAGTAATTTTAATATATATTCTTAATATATATAATTTTAATATATACTCGATTTTTTATCGATTTTTAGAAACCACGTTTTGTGATAATAAGATTTCTATCAGATGGAAAACAATAAGATTTCTACGAGAAAGAAATAATAAGGTTTTTAATCAAAGAAAATTTAAAAAGAATCAACAACAATCTCATATTGCTTTTCAATTATTTTGATAGAATTTGAAAAATATATACTCGATTCTTTTTATCGAATTTGTTTTAGAAATCACGTTTTGTGATAATAAGATTTTTATCAGACGGGAAACAATAGGATTTCTAAGAGAAAGAAAACTTTAATATAAACAAATCAACAACAATTTCATCTAGGATTGTTTTTCAATTAATCAGAATTATTTAGATGGAGCTAATTTGAAAAAAGTGCTAATCAACACTTTAAAATCAACGAAATTAATCAGTTAACAAGTATAATTCTACTATACTTATGTTCGATTTTTTATTTCACATTTTTAAAAGTCACGTTAGGCGATAATAAGATTTCAATCGGTAATTAGTGTTTTATCAGTAATTTTATTAGTAGTTATTATTATCGCATTGCGCTCTGTAGTTATATAATAGCGCGTGCGCAACTAATATAATATCTGCCGATATATTACATATAAAGCTATATTAATGTTATTTGGCGATTACTTCCTGTTAACGGTCCGGAGTTAATGCGGACGTTCGCCGGGGATTTATAATCAA